AGAGAATTTACATTTATAAAAGGTGTCTCTCTCCCACCTTTTATAAAGTCTGATTATTTTATTTTACTTTAGTTGGGGATGGAGCCCAGGGCCTGGCCCAAGCTCAGCTTGAGCTTTCCCACCAAGGTGCACTGCTCCACAGCCCCAAGAGGTCTCTTAACAATGGAGAAGGCTCAGGTGTAAATCTGCAGAACAACTCTCGCTAAACAACCCTTGTTTACTGTACTCTTCCTGGTTACCTTCCCATAATCCAGGCCGCCTTCCCTTTGGTTTAGCCTGAGGTGGTATATAAACCCAAATCTGCCCGCCCTTGCAGTTACTCATCTCGGGCACTCCCTGTGTACTCCGGAACATTCTTGTAAACTTCTGTTTGTTTTCTCTGGTTAGTCCGTCTTTGCCCGTGTAATTTGCAGGGCCGCAGGTAGAGAACCTAAGACAGGTAGAGGAAGAAGGTTCTTCCTGCCCTACAAAGTTGTTTTCACTGAAGTGCCCACAGGAAAAAGTAGAATCCAGGTTCTTCAGAGCAGCCCAGGCCAGCAACACCAAGGCTGGTGGCCTGGTGGCAAGGAGAGCAGGATTGACGGGACCTCAGAGCAACTCACTGACACGAGGCACCTCGCTCCCCACCACTGGGTGTGCAACTAGGGCTGAGGACCTCTGGTGACAGATGCCAGTTGTCACCAGGACTGGATACCTGTGACATCCCCGTGGGCCATCTGGTGAGGGCTTGAGAGTTGGCCTCCTGAGCACCCACAGCTGGCAAGGACATGCCAGGTCTCCTGAGCCATTCAGAGCCACCCACTCAGTGCCTGGCTTCATAAATAGAAAGTCTGACCAGTCACCTTCCGTTTTTTGGGACCGTCACCTTCCTCATACCCTTCCCCGCGTGGGAAACTGGCAGGCTCCCTGGCAGGCTCCCAGCATGCCCTCTGGCCTTGTCACCAGCTGCGCTCGTTGTTTTATATGTAGCCTTGCTAGGCCCTGGGACTCAGCTAGGTTGGCGCCTCCTGTCTGACTGCTTGGCTATTAAAAGCAGGCGGGCACCCTCCCCAGGTGGGCTCTGCTGGCTGCTGGTCTGTCCTGTTTGCAGGGCTGAGACGAGCCCGGCAGGCCAGAGACTTCCAAAGGGGTTACAAACCAACGGAGCCTGGTTGTTTGGGAGCTCCTGGGAACCTTTCTTTGGACTTTTCTTTAGGTCTTGAAGTAGCTAGCGTCTGCAGGCCGTTCTAGCTCGCTCAGTGCATCTGGAGCAAAGAGGACTTAAGAGTAAGCCAGAGCCTGGGGAGGGAGACCCCAGAATGAAGAGTGGCATTCTTCCCTCATTTCTCAGGAGCTGCTGTCCCGGGTTTCCCAGGCCCATCTTGGATCTGTCACCGAAAGCCCCACATTTCCGCTGCCCTAGCTCTATGACCTGGAGTGGGTGAGGGGCTCTGGGGGAGGGAGGGCTTGTCCTTAAAATATGCCCCCCCCACGCACAGAGCTTAAGTTTGGCTTCCTACACACAGTGCACTGCAACCTAACTCCGTGTGTGAATGCACCGTAGCAGAATTTCCCTCGGAGCTGTGTTAAAAGACAAGACTGCAGATCTAGTTTTGGTAGATCTTAGTTTACTTTACTTGAGATTCTAAAATCAGCAGCAGTCCAGTTCAGAAGGTTCCCCCCACCTCATGGGCAGGTTGTCCAGAGCCAGAGAAAAGGAAGTGATTCAAAGAAAAAAGGAAGTGCTTGAGGAGAGAGCCCTTGGTTACAGCCCGTGTGTCTTGTGTGAACCTGGTTTGAACAGTTGGCTGAAACCTGTAGCAACAGCCCCACAGCCAATCGTGGTGCCAGGAGCAACAGGCTCCGCCTCCCAGGAGCCTCTCCCCTGTCCCCAGGGGGAGACCCCTCTAGACACCCCTCCCACACACAAACCCTCCACCTTCCGGTCCCTGTCTCCAGGCCCCTCACGCAGAGTGGTGGGAACATGTCATTCCACAGGCAGGGCCTGTGCTCCCTCCACACACTTTCTTTTCAGAAGCGATTTCCCTGAGGCCCTTCCGGCCCTGCGCTGGCTTAAGTCAATAGGATGTTACATTCCTTGACAAACAACCTGTACCCTTAGCGCTGTTTTCCAGGTGAGGAATGTAAGACTCCTTCCTCCTGGTCAGAACACAGACTGTCCTGGAAGGGGGCTCCTGTGGCTTTTACACACACCCAAGATTCCAAGACCCAGGAACCCAGGATCGTTAAAAGCAAAGCCCACCAACATGAAATCTATCCAAACAAGGGCCCATTAGAACCAGTCAGCACAGGTCACTTCGCATCTCATTTCAATCTCACTGTGATGGCAAACGCCAGCCCACACCTGGGTTTCGCTTGGATACCTGTGGAAAAACCAGAGGCAGGAGGGACTTGCAAATCTACTGTCACTCAAAAGTTGAGAGGTAGTACCTGGGCAAAACCCTCTAGAAACTTCCCTAAGACTCCACAAAACTGGGGGACGTCAGGTCCCTCTCCTCTTTGAGACAAACCTCCTCTCCTTGAGGGGTCGTTCCTTTCTCTCTAACAGACCTTGCTGTACTTCTACTACATCTAACGTCTTGCCTGACATCTTCTCCTGCGGGAACACAAGTGCCAAGGGACACACTGTGGATTCCCAAGATCACCAAGCAACAACTCCACACGCCACCCAAGCTCCTGAACCATGAGGCATCTGGCTGGCCTGTGTCCACAGAGGGGGGCGTAGACCTTGGGAAGCCCCTGGGCAACACAGAAGTCCTTGTTACCTGTGGTGGGCCCTGACCACACCTGGATTACTAGGGAGGCTACTCATGGAGATCCCTTGGTAGGTGTGCTGACCTGACAAGACAATAACTCAGGGTGGGACTTGTCACTCCAGAAAGGAAAACAGGTCACTGATGTTGTGGGGCTTTGGCCACAATGTCGGACCCCACTCAGCGGGAGGGACTAGCGGTGAGTTCAGCCACATGGGCAGTGAGCCATCATTCGTGAATATGCAAGGAAACCCCAACAAACCTGGGCTCCGAGGCTCAGGCAAACGTCCCTGCCTGGCACCACTCCACAGCGTCACACTTCAATTCAGAGAGGGTGGTGAGACCTCAGGGAATACAGCAGCTTCGCCTTGGAACCTCCCTGGTGTCACCTTCTTTACCTCTTTCTTTGCCCAGTTCTGATTTGTGTCCTTTGCTATTAAAAAAAAAAAAGCAAAACTATGACCCTTAAGTATGGCCCTTTCTTGAGTTCTGAGTCATTCTAGGGGACTGTTGGAAGTGAGGGGCATGTATGGGGACCCCTGAAAGTATAGCCAGTTAGCCTGAAGCAAGGATGGCCTGGGATCCCTGAACGGGCATCTGTGTCTACGTGAGCTCCCTGTGTGGGGGACGGGCCTGTAACCTTGAGTTTGGCTGCTCCAGGTCGCTCCCCTTCTTGAGGACTCATCCTCTGTCCTGCTTCACAGTGACATTGACCCTCGCTGGCTTCGTGCCTTCTGCCTCCTCTCCCAGGGCATCCTCCTCCAGCCTGTAGTGAGAAAGGTCTCCTAAAACTCAAATGGGACCCACCCCCTCCCTTCTTCAGCCCCTCCTCAGCCATTTGCCCCTGAGTGACATCAGAACTCCCCAGCCCCTCACACACAGACCGGCAATGTGGCCTCTCGCTGACCTCTCTTCCTCCTGACCCCAACTAGGGACCTTCCCTCTGGCTACACTGCTGTCCTGGTGGCTTCCTGAACTTGTGGGCATAACGTAGGTCTCAACTCCACTCTGACCTTCAGAATTTAGCCAGCAGTGTCACTTCCTCCTGGAAGTTTATCTATAGTGACCCTTTTCCCATGACTCATGACCCGTCTGGAGCCCCTGCCCTGCTGTCAGCACCCGCCACCCCTTGATGTGATGAGCTGGGACAGGACTTTGGTGCCCTCTGGACAGATGGCCGAGCTGTGGGAGTCTCAAGGCCGAGGACTGGCTCACATCTGCCCTGTGGTTTCAGACGCTCTCGCATCAGCTCTGGAACCCAGTAAGCTCCCGGTGCATGTGTGTGGGATGAAGGACCGACAAGTCACTCCACCTCAGGGACTCTCCATACCTCTGTTTTTTAAGAAAGTAAGATTTACAAATATTTATCACTCAGATTGACAGCAGTCCCCATTTGGGCTATGGGTCAAGCTAGGCCCACGCACAGAACCCTGGGGAACTATCTCTCACCCACGTCTGACCCTTCTTACTGTCCTGTGACATTTACGCATCACTTGTACTCAGATGAGAGGACTGACTGTGGATAGATGGATTATACTACTGATTTTAACTTAGGTAATTGTTTTAAAATGAAGTGGCTTTGAAACAATCCATCGGGGGCATGGAGTTCACAGGTAGATCACTTAACCTCACGTGTGCCAGTCCCAGGCATGGGTCCCGCACCCCAAAAACAAAACAAAATGATCTGAGGAAAAAAATCCCCAAATTGAAAATAATCCTAATATCCTAGCCCATGTGAACAATAGGTATGTTTAAAAAAAAACCCTTTAAATTAAAATATATATTTTTTTATCTTTACCACCAGTTCCTGGCACAGTTCTATTAAAACCTTTGAACTCTTCTGGGTAATGGGTCTTTTGATGCCAGTGAATGAGTCATGGGGTAGAAGGGGACACCTAGACAGCTTCAGAGTGGGAGCTGGTCACCAGAAAGACTAAGCCATGATTAGGGGGTTGGAACTTTCAGCCCCTGCCCCCAACCTTCAGGGAGAGGAGAGGGGCTGGAGCTGGAGTTGATCCTCAGAGGCCAACGATTTCAAGGCCAACGATCTCAATCGTTGGCCTTGAGACTCCCACAGCTCGGCTATCCGTCCACTCACCAAGGACAAAATATATTCTCCATAAGAACCCTGAGGTTAGGGGCTTGCCAGTCTGTGAACACGTGCACGGGCCAGGAGAAGGCCACCTCCATCTCCATGGTGACAGACACTCCAGCTCTGGACCCTTCCAGACCCCGCCCCACACCTCCCATCTGGCTTTTCATGTGTCTCCTTTGTAATAACTTTGACCAGAAGCAGCCCCTTTCCTGAGTTCTGAGTCTTCTGGAGAGTTACCCTATCAAACCTGAAGGGTGGGTGTGAGCTCGTGAATTTATCGTCAGCTGGGCAGAAATGTGGGTGCCCTGGGGACCCCGTTGGTGGCTGGCATCTAAATTGGGAGAAGTCTCATAATTTGGGAGTCTGACCCAACTCCAGGCAGACAGTATCAGAACTGAATTAAATTGCTGATCATCAAGTTGGTGTTGGAGAACTGGTTGTTGGTGGGGAAACCCACCACACACTAGCTGACGGAGCTGGCAAACACAGGCAAGCACAACGGGGATCTCATCGGGTAGGACAAGCCAGGCGTTTCCATCGCAAGGTGGGTTTGTATGTAGTGCAATTGCTACGAAGCAGCCTCCCTCTCTGCTCTGCGTCGGGGTAGCTCAAGACTGCAGGAGGCCACTTCCCTCAGCAACACACTGGAACTAAGCACCCAGAACCCAGGACCAGCCTCAGCCCTGAGCGTGGTGTTTAAAGTGTCCTCAAACCAGTTCTTCTTTTCTTTTCTTTTTCTTTCTTTCTTTCTTTCTTTTAAGTAAATAAGGGGCAGCATTTATTTCATAGGTTTGTCCCCAGAGTTAGCACAATATTTGGACATAGGACATGTTCAATAATCATCGTCTCTGTGCCCTCACAGTGACCCCTGATTGTCAAAAAACTTCATCCCAGGGACCCTCTGCCCTTTATTTTTTTATTTTATTTGTCAGAGCTGACAAGTAAAGGCCGTCTCTCCACAGACGGAGAGAGGCCCTCTCCCCTGTAAGAGCTCCCTCTCGCACTCTCCTCCCCTCAACCCATTTCCATTTCTTGGGGTGGTGTATTACTCAGCTCTTTCTGCTGCTGTAACCCAGGGTCCTGACAAGAACAATTTTAGAGGAGGAGACTTTATTTGGCTCTCAGGGTTTCAGAGGTCTCAGTCCATAGGCGGCCGGCTCCATTCCTCGGGGCCCAAGATGAGGCAGAACGTCGTGGTGGAGGAGTGTGGTGGAGGGAAGCAGCTGAGGACATAGCACTGGGAAGCAGAGGGAGACTAAGCTTCACTCACCAGGGACAAAATATATACCCCAAGGCCCCCCATGACTCCTCTAGCCACACCCCACCTGCCTACGATACCACCCAGGTGTCCATTTGACTGGATTATTGCACTGGTTGGGTCGAGGGTCTCATGACCGATCATCATTTCACCTCTAAACGTTCTTGCATTGTCACACACAGGAGCTTTTGCAGGGGGACAGCTCATATCGAAACCATAACAGGTGGTGATCACTGATCACTGTCAATTCAGTTCTTGACAAAACTTTTTTTTTTTTTTTTTTTTTTTTTGTAGTGCTGGGAATCGTCTTGTGCATGGTGGGCAAGCACTGTACCCCAGCTCCACCCCAGCCCCAGGCTTTACGAACTCTCAACAACTTAGTGGAAAATGTTTGGGAACTCCTTTTGAGGGTTTTTTTTTTTTTTTCAACAACAACAAAAAGTGTCTAAGAGGCAGTATCAGTGGGCAAATGCTTATATGGAGTAAATAATGGAATACGAGATGGTAAGACACCAAAATGCACTCCTTTGTCAACAAATACTGCTGGAAATGCCCAGAAAATACTCACGAACATTTGGCTGTTCATTAGAAATTTTCAGTGGGAAGTTTGCTCGACTGGATAAAACTACAGATGCTGTTACTGTGTCCAAAAAGGTCAGGTATCAAGGTTGAAGTCCATGAAGAACTGCTTTTCTTATGAGCCACTAAGGAATGACAACCAGAGGAGTTCTTTCTCTTCTGTAAATGATCTCTTCAGGTAAAACAATGTGTTATTGAAAAACTGCTGGAGCTACATTTGACTTGGAATTAAAAAAAAAAAAAAAAAAGGAGTTCAGGATTGGACTACCAAGGTAGTTCAGACTGGGAGTTCACTACCTGCACCCCCAAAGCAGGGAAAGGATGAGCCGGAAGTGCAGCCCACAGGAAGTGGTTGGCTTGATTAAAAAGCAAACAACGCAACAAAAAACTGGACATTTAAACAGACAAGGGTCTTTTCAATGTTTTGCCAGGAATGAAGAAAGTCTTTTGTTCCAGAAATTCAGTGGATCATGTGACAGACATTTAAAAGACCCATTGAGCTTAAACAAATAGACCTAGAACGAGTGTCCCAAATCTGCTGGCCCTTTGTCCACAGCAAGTGGTTCTTGGCACAGCTGTTGGCTCCCCAGCACATTCTTAAAAGCGTGAGCATAAACGTACGTACGTATGTGCGCACTTGTGTACACACACACACACACATACACGCACATTCTGACACTTCAGGAAAAAGTGACATGTTCATCATCCTAAGAAAGTAACTGCTTTATCTTATGCAATGGACCATTTTGAAAAACCTGTTAGGAAATGTTACATTGTTGCATGGGATTTTAAGGGAGTGAGCAGCTAATAATGTGTCAATTAAAAACTCTTTCATATCTGCACACTTTAAACAACAACAACAAACTTGGAACAGAGTCTCTAATCTAGAAATCATCCCAGCGAGAGAAGTGGTGGATTTTGAAGACATTATTAAAAATACTTTGCAAAAGTAGCAGGTTGACAGCACAAATAATGGAAAGTTATTCATCATATTTTGAAAACAAACAAAAATCTTTGCATAACTGGTGAATTTAAAAGAGAAAGATAATTTTCTGTGGGTGAACAAGAGAGCCCTCTGCCTTCTGGCTCCCATATTGGGCTGTGTATTCTTCAGCTACGATGCTCATCAAGTCCAAATATTAAAATAAGCAACTTACATACAAATATATAAATAAGCAACCTCAGCTCACTAAGCCTATTATTACAGCAGGATTATTTTAAAAAGAAGAATGAACCATACCCAATTGCATTATTTTCACCAACAAAATTTGATCATTGACATATTTGAGAGAAAAGCTTTTGTACCCATATTGAGAACAAAAATTAAAATCATTTCAAAATGTTGCTAACCGTATAGTAAGTCTGCCTAGTTCCATTTTTGTGCAAGTTTTATAAATGCATAATGGGTCAGAACAATAATGCATGAGTATAATTTACAAATAAAGTAACATGTTTGGCATAGTGGTGCAGACCCTGATCCCAGCTACTCTGGATGCTGAAGCCGAAGCTGAAAGTTGCAAATTCAAGTCCAGACTGGGCAACTTAGCGAGACCTGTCTCAAAATAAAAAATAAAAAAAGCTGGGGATGTGGCTCTGTGGTGGGATGCTTAACTAGTCTATGCGAAGCCTTAGGTTTAGTCCCCGCCAGGAAGGCAGCATATACACATATAAAAGTTGCTCTGAGGGCTGGGGATGTGGCTCAAGCGGTAGCGCGCTCACCTGGCATGCGTACAGTCCGGGTTCGATCCTCAGCACCACATACAAACAAAGATGTTGTTTCCGCTGAAAACTAAAAAAATAAATATTAAAAAAAATTCTCTCTCTCTCTCTCTCTTTAAAAAATAAATAAATAAATAAAATAAAAGTTGCTCCGAGGACCTGGGGTTCTGGCTGGGTGGCGGAGTTGTTGCCTAGCATGTGCAAAGCCCTGTTTGATTCAAGCACCAAAAAAGCAAACTTTTTTAAAAAGTTGGTCCAAGACTTTTTCTGGCCAACAATCCCTCTCTCTTTACCCGTCCTTCGCAGAGTGACCTGGCCTCTCTCTCCTTAAGAGGCAGGCTTTTCCTTCCCTCTGAACTTGGATCAATAGAATGGGTGGCACTAACATTCTGCGGTTTCTGAGGTTCGTCTGTAAGAGTTATGCAGTTCCTGCCATGATTGCTTGGGAAGCTCCTGCTTGGGGCCCGTCCATCACGTTACTGATGTAGGGAGAAAAAGAGAGGTCCTCATCTCCCATGCATCCCTGCGATTGCCAGACCAGAGTGAAACCATCTTGAACATCCCAGGCCTAGCTACCACCTGGGAGCAATGACACGGGAGACCCAAGCCACTTCCACATGGAGCTAAAGAACTCCTCAGCGGGGCCCCAGGTCCCTGGCCCACAGAACTGGGAGCAGAGGAGTTGGTGGCTGCTGGTGGCAGCCAGGGTCAGAGGTCTTGACCGCATAGCAATAGAAGGCTGAGGGGTGAAGTCCACACTCCACAGCATGTGGCATTTACTCCTTCAAAAGATGTCCGCTCCTTCCAGTCTTCTAAAAAGCTTTTATTTATTTAAGAAATGGTGGTAAAGTATACACAACAGAAAACCTGCCCTTTTACCCTTTCAGGTGCGGGCTCGGTGCCTTGGGTACTCAGCCATCCCACCACCGTATCCAGAACTTCCTCAGCCCAAACTGACGCCCACTAAGCTCCCCCTCCGCCCCCGCCGCCAGGCCCCAGGACCACCACTCCACCTTCCATCTTTATGACTCCCATTCCTGGGGACCGCGGGCCAGCGGCCTGGGGCATTTCCTTTGTGTCTGGCTTCGTGGGCTTGGCCTGGTGTCCCCAAGGTGTGCTCATGTGGAGCAGGCGTCCGAATTCCCCTCCTTTTAAAGACCGAATCAATTCTATTTGTACTTCCCCAGCTTCCCTCCCTCTGGCCCCGTCACCACCTTTGCTGTTCCAGACAAACCCATCTGCTGTCCCCAACGCGCCTCCCACACGTCTGCCTCGGAGCCTCCACCTGCCTCTGGGCTGCTCCTCTGTTCGAAGCCTTCTCAAGCCCTGTTCATGCCTCAGAACTCGTCCGACCCCACCTTCCTGCAGGGAATAGTACCCCGCTCCTGGGCTCCCACACACTTACCAGGTGCACCCGCAAAACTCCCGCGCCCCTGCCTGCCAGCCCATGCCAGCTCTGGGGGGGCCCTGGCATTGTTCCTCTTATGCCTCGAGGAGGTCAGTGCCAGGCCTGGAGCTCAGCAGATGCCTGGGAAGTAAACGCGAATGTAGGGAAACAGGGAAACTCACCTGCAGTGGCCCGGAGCTCCATCCACCCCGCAGCACACACTGTGCTGCCAGCCCTTCCGCCGGCTGCGTCAGCTCCGAGTAGATGGCGAAGTCAAATTCCATCGGGGCCACTCTGGGGCTGCAGGACCTCGGTCAGCTTCGTTTTATTCCCTGAGGAATGGACAGATACCGTGGGATTCCGGGGTTGGCTGAGCGGTCGGCTGTGGGAGGCCAGGTAGGGAGCGATTCACAGACTGCAGCTTTGGAGTCGCATGGCACACATTGGGGTTATGGGACAGTTAATTTTATGTGTCAACTTGACTGAGCAAAGGGACACTCAGCTGGTAAAATACTAATTGTGGATGTGACTTTGAGGAGGTGTCCAGAAGAGGTGAGCATTTGAATCAGTAGACAGACTAGGGAAACCTCGGCTCCCGGGTGAGGGGGTCTCATCCCATCCACGAGAGCAGAGGAGAGCGAGGCAGAGGGAGGGCGAAGTCACTTTCTGCTTCAGTTGGGACGTCTGTCTTCTCCTGCCCTGTGACCTCAGTGGTCCTGGGCCTGGGGTCTTCAGACTCAGACCAGGATGGACACCTCGGCTTTCCTGCCCCTGCATCTTACAGACAGCAGAACGCGGGACGTCTCCATAATCACAGACTAATCACATCAGATCAATCTTTTTCTGTATTTTTCATATATTCTGTTTGTCCTGCTTCTCTGGGGAACCCTGGCACTGAAGGGAGGTCCCTAGATCTGTCACCTGGTGGAGGGCAGGCTGCCCCACCACCCTGTTTTGACATTTTCGCCCAAAGCCAGGTCCTTGTAACAATTGGAATTCCCAGTGTTTTTCTCACCAGGGACCCCTTTTCTGATAAACCACATGGTTGTAAACAAGTCCCATTCCCAGAGAAGGCAAAGGGCAGACGTCCCTTGCCCCTTTATTTTATTTTTAAATTCATTTTTAATATTTATTTTTTAGTTATAGGTGGACACAATGTCTTTATTTTATTTTACATGGTGCTGAGGATCGAACCCAGGGCCTCTCACATGCTAGGCGGGCGCTCTACCTCTGAGCCACAACCCCAGCCCGGGGTTTTATTTTTATTCATTCATTATTCATTTATCTATTTCCTCCCTCTCTTGCTCTCTCTGTTTATTTTTATTTTAATAATTACTTTTAGTTGTCAATGGATCTTTTGTTTCATTTATTTGTTTCTGTGTGGCCACGGAGCCACAACCCCAGCCTCTCACTCTCTCTTGAATCTCCTTCCTTCCTTTTTTCCTCTTTGGTGCTGGGGATTGAACCCAAGGATGCTCTACCATTGAGCTACATTCCAAGCCCTTTTTAGTTCTTACTAAGTTGTCCAGGCTGGCCTCAAAGTTGTGGTCCTCCTGTCTCAGCCTCCCGCATTGCTGGGATTGCCAAGTATGTCCCTGCACCCAGCTCTTCTTTCTTTATCAGAATTTTGGTTTCTATTTAAGTGACAGAAGTAAGCAAATACATTTTGAAAAAACATAAACAATACAGATAACATAGCTATGTATCCAGAAAAATATGAAATATCCCCTTTTCCCGACCTTCTCTCCAGCAATACCTGAGAGGAAACCCAGGCCAGGGAGAAATTGTTGCTATAAGTAGAACAGGACACCGCCCTCCCCTTGAAAATCCCACATAAGAGGGCCGCCCCTGGCTCCCGGAGTTACTGCCCTACCTGTTCCTGCCCCAGATGTTCTTTGCTTCCTTGCCCCGCCCTTTCTGGGCACTGGCAGCCTGACTCTCTGCCTCTATCAGAGGACCCTGTGCAGGGTCACGGTCCCACAGCGGAAGGCTGCCTCCCCACCTGGGCTGCATCTGCCGGCTGACCCGGCCCTTCCTTCCTGGAAGCCCTTCCTCTCGGCGACTCTGACCCCACACGTGGCCTGGCTCGGACGCTCTGTTGACGCGCAAGGAGCTGCCCAGAGTGGCCTTTGGGGCGACTTCTCATCTCAAAGGTTTGACCTAAGAAGTGATATAATCCAGACCAAGATCAACAGAAATTGGGCCAAAATTGAGCATGGCCTCCCTCAAAGAGCCCTGTCTGGAATGTCAAAGAGGTTGTTTTCAGGAGAGACAAAGGCCAGGACGGTGAGACAGCAGGAACCAGGTGTTGTATAGAACTCCCCCGGGGCAGCAGGATTTTACAAGTTTAAATCAAATCAAATTGCTTACTATGCGCCACATCCTGAAAGGAGCACAAAGAAAAGTAAGGCAGTGTTTCCCTTTAAGGAAAATCACAGCTACACATTTCTGTCATTTGATACATTAGCTATTAGATCTGTCATTCATAAGGTGGAAAAATCCAAAGTTGTGTCCTCTCACATCCGTGCACACTGAGCCAGGTGCCGTGGCTCACATCTGTAACGCCAGCTACTTGGGAGACCAAGGCCGGGACCATCTCAAGTTCAAGTTCAGTATGGGCAACTTAGCAAGAACTTGTCTCAAAATAAAAAATACAAAAGGCTGCGGATGTAGCTGAATGGTAGAGTACCCAGTACCAAAGTGAGGGGTTGGGCTCCTCCTGCCTTAAGTGCCTTCTCCTTGGCCCAACATGGCTGCTGGAACTTGGGCCATTACATTGACATTCTAGCCGCTGGAGAGGAGAAAGGGGACTGGAAGGCACATTCTCTCCTTAAAGGAACATGACTCCCAGAAGTGGCACACGTTACTTCTGCTGTGTCTCCTCGTCCATAACAGAGAGACTTGGTTGCATCCCACTGGAGGGGCATGTGCTTAGGTGTGGGGTGTGTGTTGGAGAAGGGAGGGAGAGGCATGGGGCATGACAAGCACTGAGAAGTGGCACTTGGGGCGCGGCACTACACTTGCTGGAGCCATGGCTGTGTGGAGGCAGCTGGCATGGGAGAGGCTGGGCCCTGAGACGGGTCCCAGGCTGCTTGTCCCCACTCCCGTCTTCAGACAGACTCATCCAGGGTACTGGTTCCGGCCTGTCTGGACAGTGGCGGTTCTCGACCTCCACCCATAACAATTACACGCAGCAGCCTCAGGTCCATTCTGCGTCAGGCTGAACGGAGGGTGACGGCGACAGATTCTCCATTAGTGCATTAAAGGGTGACAGTTGGCAGGTAGGTCCTGCACCCACGGGGAGCACCCAAGCCCTGCTGCCGCTTGAGGGAGGGGCGAGCTGTGCGCAGGGGCAGGTGCCTAGAGGAGCACCCTCAGGCCCCAGTTCCCTTGGGGCTCACCTCGTGCACATTGCTGCAGGCAGTGGGGCCCCTGCAGCCCTGAGTGATGTGCACTTTGTCCTCGTGGACCCCACAGCTCCCCAGGTTCTCCTGCCTCGATGGGGGGCCAGGCTGCAGAGAGAGGCCCCGGGAAGGGGGACCTGGGGCCACTCCTGGCCCTGCAGGGCAGGCCATGTTCCGGGCGTGGCTACACCTCTGGGGGCGCGGGCAGCCCTCCCCACTTGCAGCTTTTTCCATATTCGCCCTGAACTTTCCTTCAAACAATGAAGAGGAAATGCTCTCAACCCAGATGGCCAGGATACACGTGTCCGCGGCTATTCGCGGGGAGGGAGCTGCCGTGCCAGGGCTGCTGCCCCGGGAAGGAAGCCCGACCCACGAGATCCAGGAAGCAATAATCCAGCACCCGCAGCCCTGGCTGCAGGCCGGTCACCTTCAGGCCACGACAGGCTGGGCGGCCTCCCTCCGCAAGCCCCGGGGTTGCCCTTCTCCATCAGACAAGCCCCACGGAGCTGGTCTGGGGTCCAGGGGTCAGGCTCTACGGCATGGGTGTCCCTGACCATGCGTGGGCTCCCTCACTCCCTGACCTGGGAGGCTCTGGATCCCCCTTGCGGGACCCTCCCTTGCCACCCTGACTGACAGGACCAGGCTCGATGGGCTTCACAGAATTGCTCCTTCCACCACCCCAAATAGGGACACGAAATGCTACGGAGACCGGGAATTTGTCACTGTGGAGACCCCCTGGCCCAGATCAGGGATGGGCAGAGTAGAAATCCCCTGCTCTGGGGTCCCAAGCTCTCCCTGAACAAACCAAGTGGCTGTCACGAGGGTCACCAGGTGTGTGGGAACGCGGCACTCACACTGGGTGGCCTAGACCACAGGACGGCGTCGGCTCCTGGCTCTGGAAGCCAGGCAGCCAGGAAGGGTGGGCTGGCTCCCGGGGCTGCGAGGGCAAACCTGTCCCAGGCCCGTCCCAGCGTGGGGCGTTTTGCTGGCATCTTGAACACCCTTGGCGTGTCGCCTGACCCTGGTCTCCACCCTCGTGTTCACATGGGCTCTCCCTGTGGGTGTGTCTGTGTCCTCAGTTTCCCTTTTAATGAGGACATAAGTCATATTACTTTGTCACCCACACCCTAATGACCAGATTTTAATTGGATTACCTCTGTAAAGACCCCATCTCCAAGTAAAGTCACACCCGGAAGGACTGGGGGTTAGAACTCCAACATACAGCCAGGCACGGTGGCCACGCCTATGACCCCAGACCTCGGGTGGCTGAGGCAGGAGGATCTCGAGTTAAAGCCAGCCTCAGCAATTTAGTGAGGTGCTAAGCAACTCAGCAAAACCCTGTCTCTAAATAAAATATAAAAAGAGCTGGGGATGTGGCTCAGTGGTTTAGCACCCCTGGGTTTAATTCCTGGTACCATACAAATTCTGGGGGAACACAATTCAGCTCTGTCACATGTGGGAGTCCCATGTAGTAACTGGGACATACTTTTAATAAAAAATAATTTATTGTTTGTCTGAAATTCAGACTCAACTGGGCATCTATATTTTTTTAAACTGGCAGCCCTGCTTTGAGCAACACCCACCTGTGAAAACAGCTATTCCCAACAGAACAGCGGAGATGGCTTTTGCTTTATGAAGTGATTAATCATAGGATGTCCTTAAATAGCAAATTCCTCCAGAGGCATCAAAGCAGCAGAGTAAGGACCAGGCCACACTGCTGGAGCGGAAAGCCCACGTGTGTTCTAAATTTAGGACGGCAGTTGAGGGTCAGTTTACAGAGGATGAGCTCCAGGATTCCCCGCTGCTCCTGGGCCAGGGATGAGAGGGGCTCACAGTCAGGGATGAGCTGGTGCCCCAAGCCCAGCCAGTGCTTTCTGGGGGATAGGCCCGTCTTGCCGGCCACTGCCCTCTTTCAGTGTTGATGTCCCCCTCTCTTGAGTCTCTGTGGCCGGGTTGTGTGCACCCAAGTCCCTCCTCGTTACCCCACTGCAGGGTGGCAGCTTCCAGGTCCTGAGTTTCAGAGTCAGGGGCATTTGACATCCTAGAGTCAGAGCAAGAAGGAATCTGAGTCTGGCAGAAGCCACTGCAGGGTGACAGGGAGAGGCCATGGGTGGCAGAGACAGGCAAGCGTAGTGGGAGGTGCAGGCAGGAAGGGCGGCTGCTGGAGAGAGCTCATGTCCCCTCCCTCTTGAAGACAGAGGCTGAGGACCCAGACCCACAGGACACAAGGCTGACAGTCCAGAAGGCAAGGCGTGCCCACTGCAGGCTTGGTGCCCACTCTGTCCCTGCAGGCCTGGCTGGCCTCCCCCACACCCAGTGGTTCCACATCAGGAAGGCAGAGCTGGCCGGCCGGGGCTCTGCTGACGATAGAGCTTGTCTGTGAGAGGCCTAGGACATGTCCATGGAGACAGGTTCAGTCTTCTTCGACTCCAGAAACCACTGTGGCCCACATCCCACTGGGAATAATGGCAAGCAGGTGACTCAGAGAGATAGCATCAGATGCGGTTAGAATTCGCCCACAGCTGGGGGATTAGCTGTGGTGTCTAATGGGCCTTCTGCAGTGGGACTTGGCAGCAATTAGACCAGGGCCAATTAGCAGGACCACGCAGAAGCTTATGGGAGAACAGGGTCCTGGCACCTGCACCTGGAGCCGGGCCATCTCAGCTGTCCTGCTCTGCACTTGGGCTGACCAGGGAGACAGACTGCGTTCCTGCCACGCAGCCACGGAGGCCTGTGTGACCTGTGTGCTGGGCCAGCGGCCACATTTCACTCCAGGAGCAGGGCCAGCATGGCTGTGTCACCCTCTCACAGATGTCTCACTCTCTCCCCCGCCACGCTCCTGCGAGTCACCCCACCCAGGAAGAGCTTAAATCCCAACAATGACAACCAAGGTCAAAAATCCCTGGAACTCAACTCTGGTGGCAAAGATCCATTCAGTGAGAAATTGGGATGTTTGTGCACTTGGGAGTTGGGCGTGACTGGCGTGGGTAAACCTGGGGTGTCCTCCAGATACACCACATGTGTGTGCGAATGCTCCTGTAGACGCCGCCCCCCTTTCACATCATCTGGCGTCCACACTCATTGCTTCCTTGAGTGAAGTAACTCACAGAGACAAAACCTCGCAGACAAAATTCCTGCTCCTAGAGGTGACGGGTGTAGATAGTGATGGTGTAGATGATGTAGGTGATGGTGAGCATTCAGGAAGGGGCTGACTCAGGTGGGCAGCAGCAGGCAGTAGGGGGCTGGGGGTGCTCACCAGGGTGGTGTGAGGGCAGGAGCCTGATGCAGGAACACCGGATCGGAGCAAGGTCTCCAGAGAGGTGGGACGGTGGCTTCCCTTCCTCTGCAGGCTGCTGAACCACCACACAAGCCCACAGATTCAGCACTCAAGGGCTCTCAAGCCACAGAGAAAAGCCTGAGGAGCCTAGTCCAATGATGAGGGTGTCCAGGGTCTTCCAGAATGTTCCCTTAGGAATGAAGGAAGGGGGGGGCTCTTCAGAGGCTGGCTTTGATGTTTTTGTTTCTAGGCTGCACAGATGGCCTCGTGTTGTTCAGACACACTGCAGCCAGCCTCATGCAGCACAGCCCAGGGCGTCGGTTCCTGCCCAGGGGAAGCTGAAGGTTCTCGGGAGAAGGCGGCTGGCAACCAACAAAGCGCATGTCAGAAAGGCAGCTCCAGAAGTCCCAGCAGCAAGGCTCTGCAGCAGGGGCCCCAGCACCCCGCTCTTAGCCACTGCCTGCCTAAGCCAGGGAAATGCCTCCTGCCACCAGGCCCTGGGTCAGGGCACCCCCTGGAGACTGCCTGATGAGCAAGTAGGTCCTGGAGGACTCAGCCCATCCTCCTTAGGGACCAAGGAGACAATTCCCCACAGGGGCCTCTGTCAACGTGGGACAGCGGCTCTGAGCACTGGGGCAGGCAGCTGTCCTCAGTGTCCATTGGGAGTCAAGTTCAATGACTCATGGCTCAGAGTCAGAGCCCAGGGCCAGCCACACCCAGACCATCTTATCCCAGACGTACTTACCACAGTGAGCGGAGGAACTCCGGCTTCTCAGACGTTGCTGGGACGAGGAAGGCAAGCCTCCCAGGCTGGCTGGAGTGCTGCTCCAACGAGGACCACATTCCCACACTCTTGGTGGGGCCCGGAGCCCCTACAAGAATGTCAGCTTCGCATTATGCTTGTTATTGAAGCCACCGGCAAAGTGAGGAGCGAGAGGACTGGAAATACTGTGGCCTGAAGAAAGAGCCTTTTGTTTCTCTCACATAATGGTCTGGAAGGAAGCAGCCCGAGCTGTGGGGTGGCTCCAGGAAGCTGCTTGGGGACCCACATTCTTTCGACCCGTGGTTCTTCCCTGTCCTACAGAGATGTCCCAGTCTGCAGGGCTGAAACGGCATCACTCCGTTTTGGTGGAGATCTCAGAGGGGAGAAAGAGGGAGAGTGCCCAAGTCATCGCCCGTCAATCCAGTTACATGGTCTCTGTCACATCATACTGGCACTAGAGTTAGTCAACTTTTCATCACTGTGACCAAAGTGCCCAAGAGGAACAATTAGAGGAGGAAAAGTTTATTTTGGCTCACAGTTTCAGAGGTTCAGTCCACGCTGGGCCGACTCCATTGCTCTGGGCCTGGCGGGAGGCAGAAGGTCAGGGTGGAAGGGCTGGGGGGAGCTGCTCTGCTCACAGCAGCCAGGGCCATGGGGTGGGGGGTCAGGAAGGGGCTGCAGGACAGATGCTCCTTCCAGTGACCCCCTCCTCCACTCACCTCCCACTGCCTAGTCCCTGCCCTGTCAGTCCATTCAAACTAGGAGGGACTGGCTAATGTCACAGTCCGTCCATTCACCTCTGAATATTCTTGCATTAACACAGGAGACTTGGGGGACACCTCAAAGCCGCTCCCCAGGCAGCCTGGGCCATGTTGTGTGCCAAGCTAAAACAGGGGGTTCTTACATCCATGGAATAAGGAGAGAAAGGGCTCTGGACAGTTAGCTGTCTCGCCCCAGGTGGAGACCCCGACCACTGGCCTGGTCCCCAGCCACCTCGGGCCCTAACTCCAGTGACAACCAGACAAGTAGCCGCTGAGCTTCCACTTTTGCAGAATGAATGCTGGCATCTGCCTCCAGTCCCCGGGGGTTCCACACTGCCAGGGCTGGAATATTCTAGGCTCTCCGTAGTGTCGAGGAGAGCTACCAAGCCTGGTGTTTACCCTCATGGCCTCCCACACGGTCTGGTCAGGCCAGGAGAACTAAGGTGGGTGCACGCAGCACTCCAGAGACCACCAAGGCCGCGCCAGTGCCCTCACCTGTCGACACGACGACCTGTTCACCAGGTTGTTCCTCTCTTCAGAGACACAGAAAGGGCTCCACAGGATTGTGCCACTGCCCCACGGTGGAGAGCTCATCTGACTCCTGTCCCATGCCCCGTCCCATGCCTCCCCCCGCCCACCGCCTGCTGCCCCCTAAGCCCAAACCCAAATCTGTCAAATCTGAGGTGAGGCAGCACATCATGCAGGAAGGACAAGGCAAGGAAAGCTGTTCTGATCGCGGCAGCCAGGAGCAGAGAGAAACGGGAGGGTCCTGATGCACAAAGGGAGCCTTTCTGGCACCTCAAGCCCAGCACCGTCTGGTAACATTACCAGGAAGACCCCTGAGCAGACTTTCCTCGGCTGGTGTGAAGGGTGGCAGGGTCCCAGCCCAGGGCTCTGCTAGTCTGAGCGCACACGCAGTTGCCTTTGGCAATCCTGGGAGCCCTTCGCTGGAGACTCTGAAGGAGGCTGGCTCTCCAGGAGGCCCTGGCCCTGTAGGCTCACCTGTCCCTGAAGATACCTCCAGATGGTGCTTTGTAGAGATCAGCCTTTCCAGAGATGTGAGACCCATGGCTGGAGTCTCCCACCTGTCTGGCCTCTGACTTTATTCTCTGCATTCCAACTAGTCTTTGGGCCACCCAGTTACAGATGCCCTTCCTGGAGCATGGAGTGGCCAAGACCCGGTTCCAGCCCACTCCCAGCATGTGAATTTCCGCTCCCAGGTATATGTGCATGGACAGGTACAAACCAAATAGCAGAATAGGAGATGAAGGTCCTGAATATATAAATAACTCCTAGAACTCAACAGTGACAACAATTTAAAAAATTTTAAATGGACAAAGGACTTGAAGAGACATTTGTTTAAAGAGGATAAACAAGTGGTCAGTACACACATGAAAATATGGCCATGCTCATTAGGGAAACGTAAACCAAAACCACCAGGAGAAAGCACCTCAGACCCGCCAGGATGCTACCGTCAAAACAATAAAGATATTAGTGATAATTAATAAAAACAGAACAAGAGGTGGTTGGGAGCGGTTGGAACCCAGGTGTCACTGGTGGGAATGTAAGTGGTGCAGCTACTGTGGCCAAGGGTTCAGGTGTTCCCCAAAATTCTAGCCCAGGCTGCCACACAGGTGAACCTTGAGGACAAGGTCAGGAGAAATTAGCCAGATGATAAAGGACCCAGCTGTGCAGCGGCACTTCCTGATGTGCTTACACCAGGCAAACTCAGGGGTGGCGGCTGCCACACTGGGAGAAGGGAATAGGAAATCAGTGTTGAATGGGTACAGTTCCAGCTGGGAAGATGGAAACGCTTTGTGGTAGACGGTGGTGACAGAGGCACAACACTATGAATGTTCCATGCTCATTGACAGATTGCACTTAAAAATGGCTAAAATAACAGCGACACCCTCGGCCCCCAGGAAGGGACAGGCTATTTTTCTTGTCACATGAGTGGCTTTTCACTAAGCGCATGCAGGGCAACATGAAGGGCTGGGCATGCGGCTGGCCCGCCAGGCGCTGGAGCAGGAATCAGAGATGCAGCCCGGCTCCCCCGCGCCTGCGGTCTCCCCAAGGCTGGCTTCACGCATGGAAACCACATTAGTGTAGGGAGGAAAACTCCGGTTGAGTCATTTGCAGGATGTGGGAGTCCAGGCAGGACTTCCAAACTTGGCAGCCTGGGAGGAAATGATCTGATATTTTAGCCTCCCCTGTCACCTAGGTGCTCAGCGGGGACGACTCTGCTTCCTATCTTAAGACGTTTCCAAAAGCCATGCTCCTGAGCACCTCCACAAACGCACGTCCAGGAAGGACAGGCTGCCCCGGGCCCGGGCCCACGGCCTCAAGTGCTCTCACAGGAAGCAGGCGCGTGATCTCGGAGCTGCGATCGGGCGCTGACCTCACGATGAACAGCAGTCAAAACAGGAGGCCGGGAGGCCACGGGGGTCACCCGCAGCGCTGGCTCGGGCTGGGTGTCTCTCCATGGCAGCCCTCTCACCCGGACTCCCGGAACCACAGCCACAGCCCAGCCTCCCCACTTTCAGCCCGTCGACCCTTCTCGCTACCCAATTCTCTCTTGTCCCCTTTTTTTAGTGGCATTTCCAAGGCCACAGATGCCACAGAGCTGACTGACCAGGGACCTGGCAGGAAGGATGAGGACCATTTACAGATGGGACACTCGATTCTTCTGTCCTGAAATATCCACTCATCTCCTTTGTCCCCCCTGGGGCTGGGAAGGCCAGCTGGGCCTTCCCTCTGGGGTCCCTGGGTGTGCACATTTGGGGTCCAGGCCTGAGTCGTGCTGAGACCAAGCTGTGGGCTTCCTGTCCCACAACAAACATCTCACTGTTTGCCTATGCATGTCTTCATTTTTTTAAGTGGACTTTAATTTGCTCCAACAGTTTTAGATTTACAGACAGATTGAGATGACGGCACAGTTTCCGTGTGCACTTCACACCCAGCTTCCCCCGATTCAATATCCCACCTTGATATGGAACATTCGTTACCATTAATAAGCCGGTACTGGTGCTGTACATTAAGTCTATAGTTTGCTCCAATTTCCTTAGGTTTTACCCAAAGTTCTTTTTCTGTCCCAAGGTCCCCTGCAGGGTACCACATCCCACCAAGTCTTCTTAGGCTCCACAAGGCTGTGGTGGTCTCTTGTGTCCTTTCTCTGGAAGCTTCTTAAGGGTGACGTAGTCTCCCACCCTCTGCCCTTGCATCTCCTCATAGTGTCTAGCTGGACTTTCCTGTGACATACCTCGACTTTCAATGTTGACAACTCAATCAGACAAAAGGGACAGCTCCTGGGCTGAGTTACCCAGGTCTGTGGACAGGCTTTGTCCAGAGGGAGGGCACAACGAAGCCAGGAGCTATCCTGATCTAATTCAGCGCAACCCGGGGGAGCTGGAGGAAGAAAGTCCCAGCCACCTGGTTTCTACAGTAGCAGGACCTTGCCACTCACGTGTGGAGCCTGCTCCCTGACATAGGGCCTGGGACCTCGTTGGAAGCAGAGTCTCCACTGTGGTAGCATCTCGTCACAGTTTGATGACTGTCCTTGTGGACAGAATCCACTAGAACACATTCCTGCTGTCCTCACAGCTACGGTTAAGCTGGGTCTGCCCTGGACCAAAGCATTGGCGAGGCTGGGCAGAGCGGCAGGTGAGCACCCAGCCAGAGAACGCCCGTGCCAGCACCACCAGGCCCTTCACCCACTTTATCTCATCCAGTGCCCCTGAACCGTTTGAAGGCAGAACAATGACGTCCACTTGACAAAGAAACCAGAGATGGTAACGTCGGCACGTTTCAGATACTCTCAGAGGCAAATGGCTTCAGGGCTGTTCATCTCGCCTGAGCTGTGTGGTGTCTGGGCCTCCGTGGTCACCAGGCTTCCAGGAGCCTGAGGTGGGGACCCTGGTGGTGGGCAGAGGTCTGTGGGCCACAGGGTTTCTGTGGCTGCTGGGAACCAGACTGGAGCCCTCTCCCACACGTTTGGAGACATTCACCAAGACCTGCAGGGCCACTGGGGCTGGGACTCAGGACCTCCTGGTCCTGCTAGGGCAGGAGTGACTAATTTGAGGCGAGATGGGAGGGCCGGCCCATGTTCTCAAGCAGCGCCACGTGCCTGCCCCCTGTCCCCAGCAGCAGCTGCCTTCCCTGAGCAGCTTCCCTCCATACATGAAAGGGGATGAGCCTGTTTGCTAGGCCAAGCCCGAGGGAAAATAATTATTCTCCAGCAGAGCTGTCTTAAATGACTCCTCAAAGCTTCTCCTGGTCCCTCTCAAGGGTGAAGAGAAGCCCCCAGGTCTGGAATAACGCACCATTAGTGGGAGCTGCCCCTCAGCAGGCCTGCCAGCAGGAGGAGGGGTGGGGGCGGCTCCCAGCTCGCTGTGCCCAGGGCTGGTGGCGGGCAGGCCGGCCGGGGCGCGTGTCGCGCTGAGGTTTCTTCTCATCTGCGAAGAAGTCCCTGGCGTGAGACCCCAGTCCCTTGTCGCCGTCCAGCTCTCCTTCCAGCTCAGCTCCTCTTGATGAGGTGGCCCAAATCCCTTTGGTCCCCAGCTGCCACTGCGAGGCCCAATATGCGAGGACTTCTGGTTGGCCTCACTGCCTTCAAATTCTGGCTCTGCCTCCCACCATGCAGATCTTCACCCCTCGGCCACCAGATTTGAGCTTAGCACCCAGCTGCCTCGCCCTGTTATCCTGGACCTTCCCCTCAGTCCTCCAGCACCCTCCCC